CGTGCGTGTTAAATACCGAATATGAATTATGTTTCTTTGGTGTTTCTTTCTTAACTAATAGGCAACAATTGAGACATGAAATGAAAAATATCAAATAAATTTGGATTTTCTGAGATGACACAAAAGTCTCAGACTACGATGAAATAAAAAGGTTAACTTAAAAATAAATAAAAATTCGGTTTGACTTGCACGAGACTACCCACCTACGTGAAAAGAGAAAAAAAAACGCTATGGTAGAAAACAAAAAAAAATGAAGGGTGTCTCAACCCGGAACGTTGTGAACATTAAAACATCTTTTTGGCATTAGCCATTTTTTTTTTCCACTTTTTTGTTTTCGATCTGATGTGTAAAGGAACTTGAACTGCCATGGTATTGAAATTAAAATGTTTGAAAGGATGTTGAATTAATAATGTATGTCAAAATAGCAGCAAATCGCTCAAAGTTAGACAGTAATTACGCTGATTTCTTTGTCTTTATTTCTAATCATTTTGATCTCCTTCTCCACTGTTATGTTGAGAACTTAGAACTTTTATTGACGTCGATACATTTTTTTAAACATCATTATTTTGTCTTTCTTATATCCTACTACAGATGACCCGAAGTCCAGAAAGTTGATGACCTCATAAAACAAGACTTCAGTGGTAAGGACATGCTTTAATTTTGATTTTTAAATATTTGTTTGCCGGTTCTTAAGTAGAAACATGCACAATGATTTATCTGTATTGGGCTAACAGCAAGGATCCAATCAATAATTTTACCGCTAAGCACAGGGCACCATCTTCATTTATCACGCAGATAAGCAGCCATCAGATAGGGTTAGGACTGGTAAGTATTTTAAAATTGTTGGATGTCTTTATAACGAAATGAAAGTGGCTATAAAGATATTTATTAAAATGAGATACTGAGGAGCAGTTTAAAATGGTTTCGCACAGAAGCTGATAAATAAAGAAGGCTGAGAAGTATTTTAAAATGGCTGGATAGTTTTGTATAGAAGCTGACAAATAAAGAAGGCTGAGGAACAGTTTAAAATGGCTGGATGGTTTTGTATCAAAATGGACAAATAAAGAAGACTGAGAAGTATTGTAAAATGGCTGGATAGTTTTGTATAGAAGCTGACAAATAAAGAAGACTGAGAAATATTTTAAAATGGCTGGATGGTTTTGTATAGAAGCTGATAAATAAAGAAGGCTGAGAAGTATTTTAAAATGGCTGGATGGTTTTGTATCAAAATGGACAAATAAAGAAGACTGAGAGGCTTTGTGAGAGCAGAGTCGTGTTTGTATTATCCCATCACATATCACAATACAGTTACATAAACAGCAACAAATACATCTCAGTCTGGGAAGAACATCTGAGAGTTACACGTTTTTTTTAAGAGATCGTAAACATAACACATTCTGATTGGTGTTAATTAGATTCTGCTTTGTTTTAAATCTTTAAAACTTTACTGAATTTCTCAGTATTTGAAAATATCTTTTAGGTAAAAGAACTAAAGTTAAGCCTTACCAACAGGTATTTGAACCTAGTGTAGTAATGTACACGTGAGAGTATAAAATCCAATTTTCGACGTATAATTTTTTGTCCTAATTTAAAGAGAAAGTATCTTCTATTCAACAAAAGGGAAGACGAAGTATTTAAATGCTTTTCAACTTCCCATATTGGATACATTTTTTGTTTACGTATATATCGAAGATCACTTAAGGCTTGTCAATTTTCAGTGCACAGAGATATGGCTGAACATTAAATGAAACACAGTTCACGTTGTGATAAATCAGCGAATGTGTAAAAGCCGTCGGATAAGCTGAACATATCGACTGCTACGTTCTACAGAAAGCATACAAAGTTCCTTCTCTACATATTGCTAATGATGGAAATTACTGGATAACAAAATTATTCAACTAAACCACGGCTACTTCTAAAATTACATAGAAATTACATCCACGCTATTGTTTACAGGACAATCTAAATAAAAAACGGACAACATAACAACGCTTTCTACAACAAAACAGTAAAAAATTACATAACCCGCCTTAGATACGTATACGGTTAGCTGAAACTTGAATTGTGTTACCCGTCTTGGGTACAGTTCCACTGTGGGTATTGTACTAGTTTGGTCCGTCCGAAGCAAGTAATGGAAAAACGAAATCGTTTTGTTTGGAATTTCTAAAGTAGTGTCAACCGAAGAAACTTATTGTGTGATCCTCAAACAAATGAACGTTTTTTTTATAATTGTAGTTTCTCACTGAAATCGGTTTGGATTTAAACTTATTCGATATCACAAAACTTAAAGTAAGTAGGACCAAACATTGGGATGTATCCGCCCGGAGATTCTCATGCAGGAGGAATCAACAGAACTGGAAAGATCTTACGTGTTTCCTGGAGAAGAATCACGCTCATCTTCCTGTGGAGGAGACGACGCCTGATTTGTGTTCTGAGGGACTTTACACATCTGAGTTTGTCTCTCCTGTTCGTTCAACTCCTTGATAGCTTGGATCTCCTTCTTCAGCTTCATCCGCCTGTTCTGGAACCAGATCTTGATCTGTCGCTCCGTGAGACACAGAGCGTGAGCCATTTCGATCCTCCGACGTCGAGTTAGGTAGTGGTTGGTGTGGAACTCCTTCTCCAGCTCCAAGGTCTGGTAGCGGGTGTAGGTTTGTCGTCCTCTCCGGCGAAGCCCATTTGCCCCTACACAAAAATACAATTGATGAAAATCTAAAATATATTATAACAAGATATATAGAATGTTAGAAAACCCGAGACTATCAGAGGCAATTTTCAGTAAAACCAGAAGGATTTGGTTCAATAAAACACCTTAACAGGCTGCTTAACACCTTAACAGGCTGATTAACGCCTTAACAGGCTGCTTAAAACCTTAACATGATTAATTTATCACTCTAGTGAGATTTTTCAAAGTAGTCTAAGTTGTTTTGATCTGTTAAACTTCAAATGTTGTTGTTTTTTTTCAACAAATTGTACTTTACAGATCATTTTAAATGATGTAATAATTGAATTTATCTTTATGATAGTTTTTAAAGTTTCAGCTCCCTCCAAATATTCGACTAAACAATAAATTTTTGGTTAGTGTGAAACAAATCCATCAAACAACAGTTTCTTTGTTCGTTGTAAAGGTCAAACAAAACATCTTCGTAGCTATATTTCATTTCTTTATGATAGTTTTAAAAGTTTCAGCTCCCTCCAAATATTCGACTAAACAATAAATGTTTGGTTAGTGTGAAACAAATTTATCAAACAACAGTTTCTTTGTTCGTTGTAAAGGTCAAACAAAACATCTTCGTAGCTATGTTTCATTTCTTTAGTGCTGAGGTAGATAAAAACAAAAAGTGGCTTGACTTGTGCATTTCGAAACATATAGAGTCTCGAAGGTAAAGATATCTGAACATCTGACACTTCACTAAGTTTAGAACTATTTATCAACACCAGGTGTAATGTAGTTTAATTTGAAACTTCCGAATGTTTTGAAACAGTGATTTCATTCTATCTCGATATACAACGTATTTAGATTTATGATTTATTTGTAAAATGATCCAAGTTGTATATTTTGGATTGGGAAATAAACCCTTTCTGAATGGGATATGTTTACATAAAAAACAAATCCTAATAAGTACTAGCTTACTTTGTTTATGCTAAACCTCGACAGTAGCCAAACAAGCAAGCTCTTCTGAGTAATCAGCCGTCAACATTACAAGTTATGGCTTGAACCCCCCCTCCCCCCGAAGGAAGGTAACGAAAGTTTCAGTTGTCGAATCGTTCAGATACTTTATTACGATATAATCAGAAGCATCTCTTAACTGCTGATATATAGAACATAAAATGGTATCGTTAAAACGCCTTGAAATGTCATTCCGCGCAGGTTATTTGAAATTAAGGACATCAGTTGGTAATTTATGGAGAACATATATATCACTGTAATTACATCTAAACTGCTTTATAGCCTATGCATCATAGCTTGAATGTGTTAGGACTAATCTGGTTGTAACATTAGAATTAATACGAGAACACGCCTTTCATTACGATATCACTAACAAGAGTCTTAGTTCCTAAAACACTAATCCATATTTTGTTAATCTATAGATAAGCCTGATGCTGCTGTCTCGTTTAATTCTTTATTTAGTAAATTAGTTAAGCCTAATCTTTTTACATTCAAGAGATTGTTGAGATGAATGTGAAAGGATTTTTTTTTAAATATAAAAAAGATGAGTTGATCTTCAGATACATATGTGAATTGAAAGCTGTGTTTGTAATAAAGTAAACAATCTACTTAGAAACAATTGTTCAGCTGTGAATACAGACGTATAGACAGATAGACAGAGATAATCTGATTATCTGAATGTATTGTAAGTCCCTACTTTAGAACCATTTATATTTATAAAAATATCATACTAATTTAGAAATATCTTCAATGATACACAAAGGATTGGATAGCGAACATTTGTGTGCTAAACTACAATAGCTTATCCAGTAAAGTCGTATAACTTGTTAAAAAATTAGAAACATAAAGAAATATCCTCAATGATACACAAAGGATTGGATAGCGAACATTTGTGTGCTAAACTACAATAGCTTATCCAGTAAAGTCATATAACTTGTTAAAAATTAGAAACATAAAGAAATATCCT